CAAATACTGTAGTATGAAAAGGGCAGTATAATACAGTCACTGAAGATACTAGATGTCATATTTTGAAGGTTAGAAACGGGTATCTGTGTCTTCTGGGCAAAATTCCATTCTAAGCAATACATACATGATAGCTTCTTTCTTGTGATTAGGAATCAAGCAAATAATATCAGTTGTTTCCCTTGGTAAATTATGGGGAGATGCACATTATTGAATTTGTTCATAATTAACAACAAAAAAGGAGCAGTAACAGGATAATTGTCTGTAAAAGAAACACCTTTCTGAACCTCAGCCTCTCTGCAAAAGTTTCTAAGATACTCTAAAGGTTATGCTGTTAAGTTTTGTATGTTAAGTGGGTATGCAAACAAAAAGGACTGGAAACTCAAGCATCTCCAGGCTCATTTCCTATATGTCCACTTGAAGAAAGAGAAAAAAAGAAGAAAAATAAAGCACTTGATGTCAATAATTAATGGAGAAAGTCTCCCAATGGGCTGTTTGGATCAAAGGTGCTAAGTTTATGATCATATTAATAACAAAGTACATTAAAATATATCTCGAATGCTAGTAAGAGACTGGTTCAGTAAAACAAGCCTCTGTTTATCACATTTTTTACTGGTAACATCTTGGAGATTGTGAGCTCTCAACTTCAATTTTGTCTTGTAGATCTGTGCAAGCAAATCTGTAGTCCTCTTTGTTGATTTTGTACAATTTCATACCTGTATCACCAATTTGGTATTTGTGGAATGATGCAGAAATAGTCTTTACAACACAGTTTTTAAACACATGCAAAAAAAGTGTCATTTCAAATCGTTTCACAGAAATTTACCTACAGAAGATATAACAATAAACTGTATAGTCAGATCATTTAAAGTAGTGGGGAAACTTTATCCCATAACATGTACTAATCTGAAAGTAAAAAAGCATTTTCTTTTGGGTCCTGCCAGTACTCCTTTGCTTAGCAAATACATAGCTGATAGACAGAAACAAGCACTTTTCACAATAAGTGAAAACAGATGCATTACTTAAGAAAGGAATGCAGCTCTTGATTCAGAGTCAGAATCATCTCTTGCATACTTCAAAATCCAAGACTGTACAATGTATTTGTCCTTGTCCATTGTGTGCAGATGTTTTTGGATGACGGCACGTCAGAATATCTTTTCGTATGAGATACGAAGTTCAGTACAAGTATGACAATAATCATAACTTTTAATTGGTAATTACTCATCAAGTAGTATAAGCATTCATTCCCGTACATCTTAAAACATCCGATTTTGTTGTGCTTAGAGAAGAAATACATTTCAAATTGACAAAGGGGTTTTCAGCTTCCAGGATAATATGACAAGGAAAAACGAATCTCAGTTCAGAGTATCCAAAGATACTGCATCTCTATCAGCAAAGTGTCCCCCTCCCAGTCTGCTGGGATGGTTCAGGATGTTCTGAACCATTTAATCCTAAGTTCTGGCCTTAGGCTTAAATGTTGACTCCCGGCACAGATTTTTATTTTCTAGTCTTTTGATCTGCTGATAAACTACAAATAAATTACTTATATTCCATACGCTAAAATCAATTTGATCATACATTGTTTTCAAATGTTTGTAACAGGAAAGACTAAGAAAGTATGACCCGTTTCTTTTACACTATTGCTTTGAACAGTCATATCTCCTGAGTCATAGGATCTAGTTTATGTACTAAGAAGTAAATTCAAGTTAGTATTCAGTTATTTCAATGTCTTAATACCTGAAAAAAAATGCAGTTCCTTGAGTAGAAATGCCGTGATCCAAATGGTAAAGCTGCCATTAATTCAGATAGAGATTTGTTTAATTGTGGAACTTACAGGAATTGCCTTTCTTGAATATCTGAAAACCTGATGTTGTTTTTATTTTAAAAAAATTCCAAAGTATAATAGCCAACATACATGTCTACATTTAAAATTTCCAGTCTTGCCTCTCAGCTGTATACCAATCTGCTATCCTCTCAAATTAATTGAAAATCTTATTATTGAGAGGTTTGTTCTCCCTGCCCACACGAGCATTAAAAAAAAATCTTACACTTCAATATACAAATT